TAATCTGCACACTTGGTGCTATTGAATTATAAAGACTCGTGATTGGAAAGCCAGAAAAGTTTTTTTCGATACCTGAGGGGACTCCAAGTATCAAAACTTGAGTTGCGATCATATGGTATACAGAATTATGAAGAATATTCAGAGTTCGATGCTGACTTCCAAAGTCATAAAATCAGATTTAAACTTTTTGGGGCCTCCGATCCGTAAGTCGACGCAACTTTTGACGTATTAGAGTGTGATTAATGTGTGATAATAAACTAATAAATGAATAACCATCAACTGCATGCTTTACTTTATCTTATTTTACTATATCTTGCTTGTTTGATAAAGTTAGAGATACTTCACTTTACTTTACTTTACTTTTCGGATAAAGTAGATCTACTTTACTTTACTCGATAAAGTAAAGTAGATTAACTTTACTTTACCGGGTAAAGTAAAGTAACCCAACTTTACTTTACTTTAATAAAGTGAAATAAAGATAAAGTGCCACCCCTAGTGTGGAGGTGAAGAGAATGTGTATATCGTGTAGAAATACCAGATTATCGAAAATGAGATTCATGAAGCTAAAAACGAAAAGAGAAAGTCAATAAACAAATAGATTTTTGTGATTTATCCATTTGAACAACCAATAATTGTTTTTTTTTCTCATACCCTTCAGCTATACATTAGACTATTGAATGGATGAATGTCACTACTTTCGTTAAACATCTATCAGGGTAAAGCGGGGTCGGAGTCCTCAAAGAAGAAATTTTCGGGGTTGGGGTCGGGAATGAGATTACGGAGCGAGGTCGGAATCAGAACAGAAAAAGTCGAGCCCGTCAGTCTCTACTTTGTAGTATTGGTCAACTAATTAGTAGTTCATTTTTATTTGAGCTTATCTATTATGGAACACGGATGTATCCTTCATAAGATATAAATGTTACAAAAAACGCAAGAAATGTCATTTTTTTGGCGATAGTTCTCTCAGAAAAATTTAAATATCTTGAGAATGCAATAATATCTTTTTGAATGGCTTGCTTAGAAATTCATCAACTACTTTCCCATAGAATATATGTAAGAACTACCAAGTAGCAATCATCAATTAAATAGCTTTTATGCAAGCCGGTCGAGGCTTACTCAGAATAGCTCATACGTACATACTGGAAGAGGTTCTTGTTCGGATCAAAAGTAAAATGGCAAATCTTTGAAAAGTAGCGCTAACAACTTAGGTGGAGAACAGTAGCACTTTGTTTCAAAGTAAGAGCTCATAGATTGCTCGCAAGCAATAAAACGCTGATCACAGGCTAAAGGGTATACATAGAACCTGAGAAATTTCTCTCTACTTCTTTATACCCCGAACAATGCTTTTGAGTATGTCCACAGTAGGATACCTACGGTAGTATATATCCACAAAGTTTTATGACTAAAAACATTATTTTTGCAAAATGAAAAACTATATAATGCATAGGTACTGATTAGGTTACCATCGTTTTTCACACTATAGAGCATTTCTTGTAATTTAAATATCTCTATAAGGGAACTGGTTTCGAAGGTGAAATTTTTTGCGGTTTTACATCTCACTTAGGATTGCATATAGGCAAAGTTTCATTGAAATCTGCAACAGCAGTTGAGCAGGCTTGGTCGACCCTATCCTGCAATATCTCTTAAGCATCTATTCTATAAAACTAAAAGTCACAGCTCTCTACTTATTATTGTTCAAACTTTATTGAAAAAATATCCTAGTATACTATTCTGTGACCCCCATACTAACTATGTGTTTTACTTTACTTAGAACGGATGCTAATTTAGACATAGAATACATATTCAATAAATACAATAATGGATTCAAAAACGCTACAGAATATAACCGATTTACAAACCACAACAGATTGTATGCAAAGTTCAATTTGTCGAACAAAGATAATTGAGCAAAAAAATTTAGAAAACTTTCAAATCGTTTGGGTTGATGCTAATATCAATACATCAGATGATAATATACAAACAATATCTCTACTACGAGCTGTTATCAATTACTTAAATATATTTGACAATACTATTGACTGTTATGAATATATAGACACAGTTAAAGATGAAAAAGTATTTCTAATTGTATCAGGTTCAATTATGCAAGAACTTTTAGCCTCCCTTTCCTATATGCCACAAGTTCAATTTGTTTATATATATTGTTTTGATGCTGACAAATATAAACAGTGGGTATTAGATTATGAAATAGTGCGTGGCACATACACCTCTATGAACGATGTTTGTGAACAACTAAGTAAAGATGCTATCACATGTTCGCACCAATACTTATCCATGAACATTATTTCTACGCACATAAAAGAAAAAGAAATAGACCAACAAGAAGCCGCATTTATGTACTTTCAATTGTTAACTGAAATCCTGATTGAAATGAAACCTGAAGATGATGCAAAAACAAGTATGATTAATCACTGCCAATCGCAATATCATGGTAATGAAAGCGTTTTAAAACACGTTGATGAGTTTGAGAAGACATATAGTCCAAGAAAAGTCATATGGTGGTACACAACACATTGCTTTATATATGAAATATTGAATAAAGCACTTCGAACTCAAGATGTTGAAACTCTATTTAAATATCGCTTCCTCCTCACAGATCTTCATAACCAAATAAAACAATTACATTCAGAGTTTCTTCAATCATTACCAACAAAAGATACCAACATAGACCAAACACCATTGACCGTGTATCGTGGTCAATCTATAAGCACCAATGATCTACAAAACATAAAGAATAATCTTGGAGGGCTTTTATCATTCAACAGTTTTATGTCAACCAGCACCAATCCAAGAGCAGCGTTAAAGTTCCTTCCAAATCGATCAGATATTCAATCTGTTCTTTTCGAAATAAATGTTGACTATAGTCAAGAAACAAAACCATTTTGTAATATACAACACTTCAGCAATTTCCCACTAGAAAACGAAGTTCTCTTCTCTATTGCGTGTGTATTTCGAATTGAATCAATTCAAAACTTAGACAATAACGCTTGCAAAGTGAGCCTGACCATGACTCGCCACGAAGATCAAGAACTAAAACGGGTGAGACAACACTTTCGCATCGACCTGAGTGAAACGTTCGATATGTACTCTCTAGGTCAACTTATGCTATACATCGGCAAATACGACTATGCTCACCAATATTTCACACTACCTCTTCAAAGTAATCAATTATCACAGTCAGTTCTTCCAAGACATTATTATGGTATTGGAACAGTTTACAGTTTACAACATGAATATGACAAAGCATTAGAATACTATGAGAAGGCACTCGAAATTCAGCTAACGTCCTTACCATCATATCATCCATCATTAGCACCTACATATACTAAAATTGGATTAGTTTCTCAAGCAACACATGAATATGATACAGCATTAGAATATTATGAAAAAGCACTACAAATTCAGATGAAATCTTTACCACAATATCACCCAACATTAGCAACTATATATACTACTATTGGATCAGTTTACAATGACAGAGATGAATACGACAAAGCATTGGAATATTATGAAAAAGCACTAGAAATTCAGATGAAGTCCTTACCACGATACCACCCATCATTAGCAACTACATATACTGCTATGGGATTAGTTTACAATGACAGAGGTGAATACAATAAAGCATTAGAATATTATGAAAAAGCACTAGAAATTAAAATGAAGTCATTACCACCATGTCATCCAACGTTAGCAACTACGTATATGAATATTGGAGTAGTTTACAGTAGAAAAGGTGAATATGGAAAAGCATTAGAATATTATGAAAAAGCACTACAAATTCAGATGAAGTCCTTACCACCATATCATCCGTCATTAGCAACTGCATATACTAATATTGGATTAGTTTACAATGACAGAGGTGAATATAATAAAGCATTAGAATATTATGAAAAAGCACTGGAAATTGAGAGGAAGTGCTTACCATCATATCACCAATCATTAGCAACTACATATACTAATATTGGATTAGTTTACAAGGACAGGGGTAAATATGATAAAGCATTAGAATATTATGAAAAAACACAAAAAATTCAGATGAAGTTTTTACCACCATATCATCGATCATTAGCAACTACATATACTAATATTGGAGCAGTTTACAATGACACAGGTGAATACGAGAAAGCATTAGAATATTATGCAAAAGCACAAGAAATTCAGATGAAGTCCTTATCACCATATCATCCATCGTTAGCAACTACATATACTAATATTGGATCAGTTTATAATTACAAAGGTGAATACAGTAAAGCAATAGAATATTATGAAAAAGGACTAGAAATTCAGATGAAGTCCTTACCACCATATCACCCATCATTAGCAACTACCTATATGAATATTGGATCAGTTCAGAATGACAATGGTGAATACGATAGAGCATTAGAATATTATGAAAAAGCACTAAAAATTAGAATGAAACTCTTACCACAGTATCAACCACTATGAGCAACTACATATAGTAATATTTGATCAGTTTACCATCAAAAAGGTGCATACGATGGAGCATTAGACTATTATGAAAAAGCACTAGAAATTCAGACGAAGTCCTTACCACAATATCACCAAACGTTAGCAACTATATATACTAACATTGGATTAGTTTACAATGACAGAGGTGAATACGAGAAAGCATTAGAATATTATGAAAAAGGACTGAAAATTCAGATGAAATCCTTACCACCATATCATCGATCATTACTAACTACATATATTAATATTGGAGTAGTTTACAATCAGAAAGGTGAATACGATAACGCATTAGAATATTATGAAAAAGAATTAGAAATTCAGATGAAGTCCTTATCACTATATCATCCATCATTAGCAACCACATATACTAATATTGGATTGGTTTACATGGACAGAGGCAAATATGATAAAGCATTAGAATATTATGAAAAAGCACAAGAAATTCAGCTGAAGTCCTTACCACAATATCACTCATCATTAGCAAGTACATATACTAATATTGGATCTTTTTATAATTACAAAGGTGAATACGATAGAGCATTAGAATATTATGAAAAAGCACAAGAAATTCAGATGAAGTCTTTACCACCGTATCATCTATCATTAGCAACTACATATACTAATATTGGATTAATTTACAATGACAGAGGTGAATATGATAACGCATTAGAATATTATGAAAAAGCACTACAAATTCAGATGAAGTCCTTACCACCATATCATCCGTCATTAGCAACTTCATATACTAATATTGGATCAGTTTACAATAAAAAAGGTGATTTCGATAAAGCATTAGAATATTATGGAAAAGCACTAAAAGTTCAGATGATGTCGTTACCACCAGGTCATCTATCATTAGGAACTACCTATACCAGTATTGGATCAATTTATAAAGAGGAAGGTGAATTGGACAAAGCATTAAAATATTATGAAAAATCACAAGAAATTGAGAGAAAGTTCTAACCACCGGGAAACCGAAAATTGGTCGAACGAAAGATGGTCGAACGAAAATTGGTCGCAGAAAATTGCGCGATACGAAAATTGGTCGACGCGAAAATTAGTCGATACGAAAATTGATCGAGCCGAATATTGATCGAAAATTTTGTAATAAAAGGAGAAAAGGTGTTTCTCGAACAGATGGTTGAATTCTCCAGTATACAAGCGAAAGTGTCACTAATTGTATTAAGATGATAATGTTATACGAAACTAATGATGCAGAAAAATAAGTTAGACAAATAAAAAAGAAAGAATAGCAGTCTAGAAATGAGGAGCAAGTCCGTCTAACTGTTGTAGTACTGATGGCTATTTTGCCGATGAGAGTGCGTGTGAGCGTGAGGACGAGGTTGTAGAGACGTTTTCAAACAGGCAATGTTACTACAACAATTAAAGGAACTTGTTCGTAAATTCTAGACTGCTATTCTTTTTTTTTATCTGTCTGAATCATTAGTTTCTTATAACATCATTGTATTAATACTATTAGTGTCAATTTCGCTGTTACACCGGAGAGTTCCAGCTTCTGTTCGAGAAAAAGCTTCCGTGGTCAAAGTCATCCTGTTGGACCGTATCGGATCCAAAAAATTCCGACAGGATCCTGTCGAAAATCATAGGAATCCGTGGCATCGGTTTCCGACAACTTCCGACGAATTCCTGTCCGGTTCGATAAAATTCGATAGGTTTCCCGATAGAATCCGACGGGATTCAACAGTCAGATTCATCGTCCTGGGTTTTCTTCTTTTATTACAAAATTTTCGACTAATATTCGGCTCGATCAATTTTCGTATCGACTAATTTTCGCGTCAGCTAATTTTCGCATCGACCAATTTTCGTATCATCCAATTTTCTGCGACCAATTTTCGCAGACCCCTAACCACCATATCATCCGCCATTAGCAACTACATGCAGCTATGTTCGATTAGTTTACCAAGGCCAAAGTGCTTAAGACAAAGCATGAGAACATGATGAAGAAGCACTAGAAATTCAGATGATATCCTGACCATCACATCAGCGGTTGTTACAATGGGTTTCTGTAACATATGCTTCGATTGTCTATATTCTCTTCTGTTCGGACATAGCTTTCTTGCTTCCCTATTTTTGTTATTGTCATTTGCTTTTTATTATTTACTTTGATGTGGGTGTGTTATAGCTAACGTCATACAAATGCGCATTTGGATGTTGTTGAAACTAAGTCATGTGGATCGCGTTATTTAGGTTTGTTTCAAGTGCGAGTGGTTTTCGATTTTCGAAACTACGCTTTACGATGCGGTAACTGGAAATTAAATAGTTTGGATGACACAAGTCTACGTTCTCTCTTGAGAGGGTGGGTGGGTGTGAGTGTGGGTGAGGGTGTCTGCGGGTGTGGGTGGGGTGTGAGTGTGGGTGGGTGTGTGGGTGTTGGTGTGGACGTGGCTGGGGTAGGTGTGGGTGTGGATGTGGGTGTGCGCGTGGATGTGAAGAGAAAACTCACCCTCACATCCATACCCACACCCACTCACACCCACACCCACTCACACCCACACCCGCACCCACACCCGCACCCACACCCACCTATGGGAAGAGGGAGGGTCGCAAAACCTCGATCTAAACTAAGACTCACTATTTCCTTCGAAAATATTTGTGAGTTTCACAAAAATCAAACTGTTTGTTTTCATATCAAGTAAATATTAATTTCTAAAACATGAGTATATATTTTTTGATTTCTTTTAATCTTTCTTGAAAATCTTCTGCGAATTCTCAAAGGAAAACGTACGAATCAATTTCAATATAAACATTAATGCATATAATCGAATATTGAAAATCGAAATCGAATATGAAAAGGAAAATATATTTTGAATGATTTTCTTATAAAATATTCTTTATGGATTTATCTACGTAAGAAACAATACGTTGTGTTTAACATGTTTAATTGAAGAATTTTATCTCAAGAAGATAAAATTAGTCTTGAATTCATTTTCTCATATTATGAATGAAATTAAAATAAATTTTATCATATCTTTATTTATTTGCATAGCTCTTAAAGGAATTTTTATTTAGAGATTCGCATTATATTTACGGAATTCACTAATAATAAATTGCTACATCTTTTTACATTAATACAAAACAAAATTATTTAAATTTAAAAATAAGAAACAAAAGAAAGTAGAAGCAATGTTCAATTAAAATTGAAATACAAAAATAGAAATGACAAATGCATTAATAATTCAAAGAGAAAACAAAATATTTTATTTATAAACGATTTTTAAATAGAAGAAATTTTAGAAAAACAATTTTCAGTATAAATCAATATTAATTTTAACAATTCTTCTGTTTCTTTTTTTCAATTTTCTTTTTTCAATAAAACTTTTTATGGATTTTTTTCATTGATTTCAGTTCACTTCTATAAAGAAAAATCTTGAAAAATCTTGAATAATGAAATGAGAATATTTGAGATTTAGAAAAAGTTCACAACTCAAATTTATTTATTTAAAAGTCAAAAAATCCTAAACGATTTTTGAATAGGTTATGAAAAGAATCAATTATTCAGTTTCAGTTTCATCTTTCATGGACTTTTAATTGAAAGGTTTATTTTGAAGAAATATTTAAAATCATACAAATAATTTAGTTCAAAATTGATTTTTCAAAAAACGAATGAGAAAAATAAAACTTTAGATTGTTTCTTTTGTTTAATAAAACATTTGTTTTATGCTATTAACATGTTTCAAAGTTTCAGTTTGTTCTTTGATTCATCTTCTGTTAAATAAACCAAACTCAATAGGATATTTATCTACTCATTCATTATTTCTGTCCTTGAAAAAATTGTCAGAAATTTAATGAAATTATTTTTGGTTTTTTCTAAGATGTCGACAATTCGAAATTTGAATAAAAAATTTTTTTTGACGTTTTTTTACGGTTGTATAGAGAGTTGCTCGAGTTAGTTCGAAAAAAAATGTTGTTTTTGACATATTCGAACAGTTTTCTAGAGAAACTTTGAAAAGTTAAACAAGCCTACAAAAACTACAATAACCCAAAAGCATCAAGTCTCGCTAGGCTTGATATTTCTCCCATTTTATATTTTGGCTTTAATCTTTATATGGTTAGGAAAAAATCAATTCTTTCGATAAAAGAGCAAAACATCATAAACGCGGGTTCGTATTGCTAGTTGTTGACAATAAGAATTTTTCTTTCAAAATAAACTAACATGATATTCAAAATCAGCAAAGATATATCCATCCAATAGTATACTTAATAGTAAAAAACAAATTTTCGTCAAACGATAGGAGTACATAATAACCTGATTTGATCCCTAGGGCTTTTTCTCATAGAACCCAGCACAATTATATATAGTATGCAAGAAGGGTGTGGGTGTGGGTGTGGGTGGGTGTGGGTGTGGGTGTGGGTGTGGATGGGTGTGGGTGTGGGTGTGGGTGATGTGGGTGATGTGGGTGTGGGTGTGTGGGTGTGGGTGGTGTGGGTGTGGGTGTGGGTGGGGTGTGGGTGTGGGTGTGGGTGTGGGTGTGGGTGTGGTTAAAGAGATCCGTACGCCCGCACCCACACCCACACCCCACCCACACCCACACCCACACCCACACCCACACCCCACCCACACCCACACCCAGGGCCCGCGCGAAGGACCAAATATTAGGGGGGTGTTTGGCAGATTGGGGGGGGGGGTGTAATAGAGTATTTTCAGAAAAATTTTGCAGAAAAATCATAAAATGTGGACAAAATCTGCTCTTGTGACCGGATAAAACTGAGAAGTTTTTATTTTTCGGGGGTGTACACCTCCCTAAACCCCCCGCTCGCGCGGGGCCTGCCCACACCCACACCCACACCCTAGAAGTCCCACAAGATAAAGTTAATTTTACATGTTTTATAAATTATTCTGCGAACTATTCGAAAAAAATGTTAGCAAAGTATATTATTGAAGAGTTTTTTGGAACTTAAGAAAATCTGATCGACTTGGTTCTTGAGGGTGTGAGTGTTGGTGTCGAGATTAAAATAAGAATCAAAGTCACACCCTTGTTTAAGAGAGCATTGATGTTCAAACTAAGAAGATTGATCGTTACTAAATTTGTATTTTCGATTTATATGAATTGTTTAAAAACTGTAAAGTCGACATAGTCGGTCTCTTTTTTAGCTGGAAGCACCACCATTCAAGAAGTTTGAAAATTCTTAACTATTTATCTGATTTCGGTTGATATTATTTTCTAGTTTAGTTATATGTATATATTCTGTTTCATGTTATAATAAAATTTTATTTTAATAAGTATTTTTCCAGTATGATAATTCATCATAAGAAAAATCATATTGATTGACAAAAAAATCCTTCGGAAACTTCTAACTGATTGAATCAAATAAAAATAACTGATTAACGTCTTGATATAATAAAATAGCGTTGAGAACGAATGGAAACGTAACTTTCAATTGAAAACAAAACAATGAAATTCACTCAAAGAGTTAACAAACTTCTCTGTTAATTATATTTTTCTCAATCGAATTCATTCTTAACAAGAATTATGAATAGAAAAAAGAAAACTTAATGTCGGAAGAAAATTTCGAATTGAATGTTTCCTTTTGTTTTTCATGCTTATTTTGGTTACTGTTGAACTTACCTTCATTGTTTTTATGCATTGTTTTCCAATATGTATGGGTATGACTTTGATTCTTATTTTAATCCCAACACTGACACCCATACCGACACCCTTTACACAAAATGAATTTGCATATAAGAGCAACTTTATTTTTCACGTAAAAAATGAATTGAAATGAAATTTTCTTCTTATCTTCAATATCTAAAAGCTATTCATGTTCATCATAAGTCAAGGAAAGTTCTCATTGTATATTTAAACATTTTTATAACAAAAGAGTCTTTGTAAATAAAAAGATATAACAAAAAAAAATGGAAAAAACAATATCACAATCGAAATCAAAAAAAGAAGACTACAAAAAGCTAATGTGAACTAACAATTGAAAAGTA